CCGCCGAGCCGCCAACCGGGAAGGCAAGCAGCTCCGCCGGGCGCCTTTGCCCCGCGCACGCACCGCGGGGGCCTGGTTTCACTGTCGTTGCTTTGCCCACCGCGGCTCCCACTGCACCCTCGTCCCCAGTCCCGAGCCCCAGAAGTGGACCCTGCACGGGAGGTTTCTTTTCACCCCACTTTCACTCGGGGTTGACTGTACAGAAAACGCACCCGAAACCAAACAAGCTCCACAGTCTTCCTCCTCCTCCCCTAACGAAACTAACCACACAGGCCGCCGCTCCAAAACCCACCGCGCCGTACCCCCCCTTCCCTTTAGTTTCTTTCATGGTGAGTTTCATTGTGCGTGGACAGGGTTCAGCTGAATGCGAGTTGATTTCTCTCTGTAGGAAACAATAATCCGGTTAATTGAGCCACGGGGGAACGCAGCTCTGCAGCTGGAAAGGCTGCACTTCCTGGGCAGGGAGGGCGCGGGGAATAGGGCGCTGGGCGGCGGCACAGAATGGAGAGCGCCCGGGAGGGAGGACTGGGCGGCCCAGGCTTTCCCCAACCTGCCGCACACCCTGCTCCGGGGACTGGACTCCATCAGAGACGGACCTGTTAGGGTGGGGGGAGAACGAGTTCTGTGTGTGTGGGTTGGGAAAGTTAAAATAAATTCAAGGCAGTGGTTACCCAAGCCTCAAACTTGCATCACAGAAATCTTACTTTTTGACCCAATTATCTGAACTATTTACTCTTTAAATCCCCTGCTCAGGTAGAGTGGGACAGCTGTGGGGGGTTCCTGCTCGGTTCCTGAAGGGAACAGTTGGGGCACTCTGCCTCGGCCTCCAGGACAGGCCTGGCCAGCAGGGCCTCCACTTCCCACGCGAGTCTGCACCCGGCCTGGAGCAGAGCCCTGGTTTGGTTTCTCCCTGGACCTTGGCTGCAGCGCCCACAGCAGCCCACAACAGCCTCACTTCCCAGTCTGGTTTTGCCTCCACGGACGTTGCCTCTGAGGAGCCTTTGATACCAGAAACGGATGAGCCTGGCCTTTCTTGCCTGCCCTCCTTGTGAACAGTGGCTGGGGTGGTTTTAAATGCCCACTGGGCTACTGGCGGCTCCCACGGCTGGCTCCAGGGCTCCGTCTTCCCTCAGGCTTCCTAACTCGGCTCCGAAAGTCACTCTCGCTCTGTTTTTGACAGAAGATCCAGGCACAGCCTCCGAGGCCCATTTCTGCTCTCCTTTTCACTCGGAGACTTTTTGGTGGCAGCCCCTAGGGGTGGGGGAGACCTTCTATCCCCTCTGCCCTACACCTATTCAAGCGATGCGTGGACAGTCACCCCTCATGTCACCTCCCTGATCAGGTGTCATCAGGGAAGGGAAAGGAAAACTGATATTCCAATTATCTTAAATGGAACCTCTCAGGGGCAAGCTGTTACTGTAGGAAGAGCTGGAGATTCCTGCCCCTTGCTTCAACCACAACGATGGGAAGTTCTGGTTCTCGTTGCAAATTATAAATAGTAAAACATGTAATGCTATAAATTATATTTACATCACACGTACAGAGGTGGTGCACCTGTGTTTCTCCAGGACAAGTTTTCTTTGCCTCCCTACACAGGTCTCAGGGGAGGATCAGGGCCTGGGGCCAGGGTGCCTGCGCCTCCAGATCTCTTGCTGGGGGCTCCCCTTGAACCTGCTCATTTCCTAGGTGGGACGTGTCTAGCTGGGCCCCACCATTTACATGGGGGAAATGGAGAGAAACCGTAAGTGGAGTGGGACCCCAGAGGGGTTTGGGTACAGACATCCTCAGATGAATTCTTGGCTGGGCCGAGGTGTTGAGTGAGCTTTCCTGAATTGTGTGAGGCCAAGGGATGCCAACCCCCGACAAGAAAGGGGTTGCCTTTATAGCCAATGCTTTTTGTCTTATGAAAAGGGGCTTCAGGAATTAATTCTAATACTAAAGGAGCTATGAGCAGCCTCTGCTAACTCCTAGTTTTCTGCTGGAGCAGCGGGGATACAGGGCTCTTTTTCCCCAAAGCCCCAGCTTGATCTCCTCCGCTTTTGCCTCTGGACGTCTTCCCAGAAAGCCCTCGGTGCCTCTGGCCCCTGGTAAAGCGGTTAAAGATCTAAAACAAAACAAGGCACACTTTCTTCCTGGCTTCCCTCTTTTCTTACTTCCCTCTTCCCTTCCTTCCCCCTTTCTCTGTAATCCTGATCTCAGCCCCTGGGCCAGGACTGAATGAAAAGGGATGAAAAACAAAAAGATTCACAGGGTAAAAAAGGCAAGCAAAGGGGCAGCAGCCCCAACCTGGGGGAAACGGGTCCGTTGCTCAGGAGCCTGGTCTCCCACACAACCCGGAGCTTGCTGCTTAAAGGACGTAAAACAAATTCACTGAGGGCCGCAGTGTGGGCTGGAGCCGTCTCTCCCTACCAGACCTCTGAACCCGCTCCAGCCAGCGCCTCGCTGCTGTTTCCCCTTTGAAGTGAACACTTCCTTTGCAAGATTCACAGGTCTGGATCCCGGTGGGACAGAAAGCCCAGTTTCTTATCGGCAAATTCAGATTAAATCGCAGAAAATTCTGACTGGACTCAGAGCTCCAGCTGGAAATTTCCTGCCACAGCCTCACTCCTGTACAGGAGTAGTACCCTTTGGGGCTCCCATTGCTTCCAGGCCTCTTCCCAGAGATCCAGTGGCCTAGAAGGACCCTGCCCCTGCCCAACCCAACCACCGATAGAAGGGCGGTGGTGCCAGTCAAAGTTTTGAAAGTTGGCTTTGCACATTTTGGAGGGTCCCTCCTCTGCACACACTTCCCCTCCCCTGACCCTGCTCTCTCCCCAGCACCCTTTGTTGCTCACAAGTACAGTGGGGCCAAAAGGCTCCAACGAGACCAACTGCTCAGCCTGGCCCTGGGGGAGTGAGCTGAGCACATACATGCTGCCCAGTGCTGACCTTCGGGTTTTACACACCCGTTTTTAGCAGTATTCCACCCCCCCGAGTTTTCACCTCCTGCTTCCTTACCTTTATACTCAGAGTCTGACGACGCGTTGCTGCCACTTTTGTCCAGCTTGTCTCTAAAGTCCTCCCCGGCCTTGGCCACAAGGCGGCCCCCAGGCTCAGGGGCTGCGGGCTGCCCGCTGCTGGAGTAGGGCGCACAGGCCGCGAGTGGTTTGCAGTCAGCAAGGATGTCCCTGATCAGAAAGGAGGAGGTGACGGTGCGCGACTGGGCCGGGGCAGAGAGCTGCCCGGGCTGCAGCGGGGAGTCCAAGCCTGGGCCGGATGCCCCGCCAGGCCGCGGGGTGCCCGTCTCCAGACAGTCCCTTCCTGGCGAGGCCGGTGAAGAGCAGTCGCTGCTGCTCTCCGTGCGTGGACTCAGCTCCAGGGGCGAGCGGCAGTCCCCGAGCAAGTGGTCCCCCTTGGGAAGGGCGGGGCTGCCCGCGCGGTGGGAGAGAATGGAGTCGATCCCAAAGCCATTGGAGCCTTCCATCGCCAAGATGCGACCTGTCCTCCCCGAA